TAGAAATACCACAGACCCCCCTGCACTCACTCCTAGGATTCCCGAAGGAATGAAAAACAGAGGCTCAAACAAGTACACGGGCCCGCACGTTCACAGCAACACTGTTCACAACAGCCAAAAGGCAGAACAGCCCGAACGTCCAGCAGCAGTGTGGTGGACAAGTGCTGCTCCCGTCTCATGACCCAACGACGAATCAGCCACAAAAACAAACCCTGATGCCACAGTGCACTGTGCTGACCGAAACAAGCCAGACACAAAAGGACAAATAGGCCACGTAGCCGGGTGCGTCACGCCTATAATCCCAGCTCTCGGGAGCCGCAGGCAGGGGACTGCTACGAGTCAGAGTACGAACCAGCCTGAGCAAGAGCAGACCCCCTCTACTATAATAGAAGAAATTAATTGGCAACTAAAAATATATAAAAATTAGCGGGCATGGTGGCGCATGCCTGTAGTCCCAGCTACTGGGGAGCTGAGAGGAGATCGCATGAGGCAGGAGGATCGCTTGAGCCCAGGAGGTTGAGGTTGCTGTGAGCTAGGCTGACGCCACGGCGCTCACTCTAGCCTGGGCAACAGAGTGAGACTCTGCCTCAAAAAAAAAAAACAAATAAAGGACAAATATTGTATACTTCTATTTACGTGAAGTACCTAGAATAGGCAGACTCGTAGAGACAGAAGGTTGATTGGAGGTTCCCAGGAACTGGAGGTATGAGGGAAGGGAACGTTATTGTCCGTCGTGCAGAGTTATGACGAGGACGATGACAGGTTATGGGTATAGAGAGCGACGATGGGCACGCGGCATGTGAACGACGTAATGACATCCCTGAACTGTGTGCACTTGCAAGCGGTTGTGATGCCAAGTGTCGTCACACAGTCCACAGACCGTCGTGCAGGGAGATTCTGAACGCGCCGCGTCAGGTCTCGACGGACTGTGAGGCCGCGACCCCGGAGCGCTCACCGCGTTTTCCAGTCAGTAGTTTCGAGAGGCGTCGCTGGTTTCTCTCACGAACGAACGGGACCCGCGCCACAGAATTCCCAGCCCGCGCCCGCCCTCGGGAGCGCGCGCCGGGGCGACGGGAGGACGGACGCCGCGCCGCGGCTGACAGGGTCGCCGCTCTCCTCAGACGCGCGGCGCCCGGCGGCGCCACCAGGGGGACGTCGAGGCGGCGCGAGTCTCCGCCCCCGAGACCGCCCGGCAAGGTCGCTGGGCCGGTCGTGACCCGCGACCAACATTTGATAAATGAGCAAGAAAATCCGGAAGACGCGGCGGAGGAAACAGAGCACGGAAGGCGTCCCGCTTCCTCCAGCGACCTCAGTGCCGGAGCGCGGGTCTCCGTTCCGAGGAGGGCGGCTCCGACGACGCCGACACTGGTAAAAATCGCACACGCCGCACGCCTCTGTCTTAAATTTTGTGAGAAATGAGAACAAAGTGACCAGAAGAAGGAAAAAAAAAAAGCCTAAATCTCCTCTTCCGCAGACAGAACGAGGATTTCACGGAGGGTCCACAAACGCGGACGGCCGCGACGCCGCGCGCGCGGGGCGCCCCCTGGCGGTGGCCCCGGAGCTGGTCCCCGGCGCGGCCACCTCGACCGCCTGGGACGTGTGAGCGGGTGGCTGTTTAAACACGGGGTTATCCCAGCGCTCTGGGAGGCGCCGGCGGGAGGACCGCGCAAGGTCAGGAGTTCGAAACCAGCCTGAGCAAGAGCGAGACCCCCGTCTCTACTACATATAGAAATAAATTAGCCGCGCAACTGAACAACAACAACAACAACAAAAATATATATATATATATATAAAAAATTAGCCGGGCATGGAGGCGCATGCCTGTAGTCCCAGCTACTCGGGAGGCTGAGGCAGGAGGATCGCTTGAGCCCAGGAGTTTGAGGTTGCTGTGAGCTAGCTGAACCTATGACACTCGTAGCCCAGGAACAAAAGTGAGACGTCGCAAAAAAAAAAAAAAAAAAAAATATCTATATATATATAATATGAATATATAAGTATTATCTATATATTATATATTAGCCCATAATACAGTGGATAGTGAAGCAGCGCAGCTCCCGGAGGCGGAGACTCCTGGGCACACTTGGCCACTGCGGCCTTCTGGAACTCTCTCAGCTCTGCTCTCATGGTACCATATTTTCCTGGTTTCCTTCCATCTCTCTGGTTCCTGGGTCCTCCCCTCGTCCCAGCTAAAAACACGCCTGGAGCTAAAAGCAAGGGGCTGGAATGTTGCTAACACGAACGAATGATAGATGCCAGACGGTGATGGCTGCCCCAACTAACCTGATTTGATTAATGCACACTGCATGCATGGCTCAAACTTCATATGCACCGTATAAAGATATACAACCATTCCAGCAGAATAGAGCATGTGGACAAAAAAGAAAAAAAAAAGATATACAACCATTATGTACCCATAATAATGTAATATATATAATATCATATATATTGAGACAGAGTCTCAACCTGACCCAGGCAAGGCTGTGGCATCAGCCTAGGCTCACAGCACCTCAAACCCTGGTCAGGATCTCCCTACCGCCTACCTCAGCCTCCCGAGTAGCTGGGACTATAGGCGTGCGCCACCATGCCCGGCTAATTTATTTTAGGGTTAGTTGTTGAGCTAATTTCTTTCTATTTAGAGACGGAGGTCTCGCTCTTGCTCATGCTGGTCTTGAACTCCTGACCTCAAGCAATCCTCCCGCCATGGCCTCCCAGAGTGCTAGGATTACAGGCGTGAGCCACTACGCCCGGCCTAAAAATAAATTTAAAAATAAAAATAAAAATGTGCCCAGGGCTTTCACCAGGTCCCTCCCAAGCTTTGCCAATGGCACACAACCATAACCTAGTCCCCGTCACGACAGGTGCGATGCAATTTCACGAGTGATGCCCAATCATTAATATGTAACCTGTGGGTGGGACAGCCAGATGGCCCCGGTGACAAAAAAAAAGAAATTGTACCAGTAACCTGGATGTAATTATAAGTGATGTCCCTTACAAATGGCATTTTTTATAACCATGTGTTAAAGAAAAATCTGAGGGACAATAAAATGTACAGAGTTGGGCCAGGTGCGATAGCTCACACCTGTAATCCTAGCACCCCTGGGGAAGGCCGAGGCAGAGAATCGTTGAGCTCAGGAGTTGAGACCCAAAGCTGAGAGAACAGAACCCGTCTCTACTAAAAATAGAAAAAAAATTAGTCAACCAAAAATAGATAAAAATTAGCAGGTGTGGTGGCTTGTGCCGTAAGCCAGCCCTAACTCAAAGCTGAGCAGGAGGATCCTTGAGCCCCAGGAGTGAGGTTGCTGTGAAGCCTAGCTCGACGCCACCGGCACTCACCCTAGCCTGCAACAGCGAGACTGCCCCCCTCCCAAAAAAATGTAAAGAGTTTGAGTAAGATGAGTTCAGATTATGACAAAAACTGGGCTAAAAAAAAAATTTTTTTTAAAGGAAAAAAAAGACCAAAAGGCCGGGAGCGGTGGCCTCACACCTGTAATGTAGCTCTCTGGGAGGCTGAGCAGCGATTGCTCGAGGTCAGGAGTTCGTAAACCAGCCTGAGCAAGATCAGGACCCCGTCCTACTAAAAGAAACCTAATTACTGGCCAACTAATATATATAGAAAAAATCAGCCGGGCATGGTGGCGCATGCCTATAGTCCCAGCTGCTGGGGAGGCTGAGGCAGGAGGATTGCTTGAGCCCAGGAGTCTGAGGTTGCTGTGAACTAGGCTGATGCCACGGCACTCACTCTAGCCTGGACAACAAAGTGAGACTCTGTCTCAAAAAAAAAAGACAAAAAATTACTTTTAACAAAAATGAGTTTGAGTAAGAAGTAATTCATGAATTGGGGAATACAAGACCGACAGAGGTTTATTGTTGAGATGACCAAACGTCAAAGGCAAGTATTTATTGGCTAAATGCAGAAGCGCAGTAATCAGTTATGCGATTGGTTAGGGTCATAAGGTCACGCAGCTTTCTTACTTGGCCTGTCCCACTGGAGAGTCCCTGGTTATGTAGCACATGAGGCATTTATGATTGACTGCGGTCAAAATTTACTTGTCTAATGTAAGCATTTACCAGAAATAACTCAAGTTTTGTTCTTGTTTTTTCACTTCTGCCAGCTGAAGCGAGTAATCCAGTCAAGCTTCACTCACATTTGGGATGTCTGAGGTCCCTCGGGAGGCCTGGCTGGTTTAGTCTGCTCGAGGTCTTCGGGCCTGGTCTCCGTTTTCTTTTGTTTTGTTTTGTTTTGTTTTTGAGACAGAGTCTTGCTTTCTTGCTTAGGCTAGAGTGAGTGCCCGTGGCATCAGCCTAGCTCGCAGCAACCTCACACTCCTGGGCTTAAGCGATCCTCCTGCCTCAGCCTCCCGAGTAGCTGGGACTACAGGCATGTGACACCATGCCAGGCTAATTTTTTTTTTCTATATATATTAGTTGTCCAGCTAATGTCTTTCTATTTATAGTAGAGATGGGGTCTGGCTCTTGCTCAGGCTGGTTTTGAACTCGTGACCTCGAGCAATCTGCCCACCTCGGCCTCCCAGAGTGCTAGGATCACAGGCGTGAGCCACTTCGCCCGGCCTGGTCTCTGTTTTAATTTGCTTTCCCAACTCCCCACTCTTGGTCACGCAGCAAGCCGAGAGGATGACTGAACCGTGGCATCACTCTGGCTTACCACGAAACTCGGCGGCAGCCAGGGGACAGAGTCGGGCGCTGTCAGCAGCAGCAGCAGCAGGTGTGCTGGGACAGTCGTGCAGCAGCCATAGCTGTCCACACCTCAGGCTCCAGCACTGTCCCGAGGTTGGTTCCCCAGGTCATCTGCGCTCATCTGACCTGAGAGTGGCTGCCGGGGAGCATTCGGAGCCCTTGGGAGGACCCCACACACGAGGGAGCAGCTATAAGGTAGGTGGGGGTTGAAAAACTCCCTGGAGCAGAGCGCCCCAGGAGCCCAGATTCGACCAACTCAGTCAGTCAGGGAAGGAGGCAGCAGCTATCTGATGAGAGACTTGTATTTATTTCTAAACAGCCTTTACATTTTGGGCAAGGAGTTTTTATTTGCTAACATAGAAACAGCATTTTTTTTAATCAATAAAAGCACCAGCTCATCCCTATTAAGCTGTTAAGGTATTACTATTAAAAACTTCTGTTTTAGGCCGGGCGCCGTGGCTCACGCCTGTAATCCCAGCACTCTGGGAGGCCGAGGCGGGCAGATCCTTTGAGCTCAGGAGTTCGAGATCAGCCTGAGCAAAGAGCGAGACCCCATCTCTATTAAAAATAGAAAGAAATTAGCTGGACAACTAAAAATATATAGAAAAAATGAGCCAGGCATGGTGGCGCATGCCTGTAGTCGCAGCTACTCGGGAGGCTGAGGCAGGAGGCTCACTTGAGCCCAGGAGTTTGCTGTGAGCGAGGCTAATGCCACAGCATTCCAGCCTAGGCAACAGCAACAGAGTGAGACTCAATTTCAAAAAAAAAAAAAAGAACTTCTGTTTTGGAGAACTATTGAGGCCAGATTGTTTCCGGTTGTATTGCTTAAGAGGAATTCAAGGCATTCTATGAAAACAAAAGAGAAACAAAGGTTAATATTTGGAGTAAATTATGATCTTAGTTTTTGAGCCCCAAAGGCAGGAAGTCCAGATTTCTAGACTTGAATTCGCAGCATCTTCAGACGGTGGAAGGAAGATGCAGCTGACTGTGTCTGATGGTGTCATCCCGTGTTCTGGAGGTCTCTGCACGTGCCGCAGCAGCAGCAGGCGTGAAGGCTGCCCACGCGTGATCTGCCGTTATGTTCCTGAAGTTCAAGTCATCCAGCTTCAGTTTGCAGGCCCTGGGGAAAGGGCAGTTTTAATTTTAAGTGAAACTAGAAAAAACATCAGGATCCAGTCCAGTTTACAGGGAGCCAACAAAACCTCAAAGAGAATTAACAGGACTAGAAATTGACAACTCGTGCACTATCGTTTTCCACTGAAATACAATCTTTTTTTACAGTCACTCCCATTTTTACCAAAAAAAATCACAGTAAACTTTTTCAAAATAAGTCTGGTTTAATTCTACTTGACCTGGTTATATAACAAAAACAGTAATTCTATGTATATTTTATTTATTTTTTTGAGATAGGGTCTCACTCCGTTGCCCGGGCTGGAGAGCAGTGGCTTGATCAGATCTCACTGCAACCTCAAACTCCTGGGCTCAAGGGATCCTCCTGCCTCAGCCTCCCCAGCAGCTGGGACTACAGGCATGCGCCACCACCATGCCCGGCTAATTTTTCTATTTTTTGTAGAGACAGGGTCTCCCTCTTGCTTAGGCTGGCCTTGAATTCCTGAGCTCAAGAGATTCTCCCACCTCAGCCACTCAGAGTGCTAAGATTACAGGTATGAGTTACCATGCCCGGCCCCACATGATTTTTGTTTTGTTTTGTTTTTTGTATAGACATGATCTCACTGTGTTGCCCAGGCTGGTCTTGAACTCCTGGCCACAGGTGATCCTCCCACTTCTACCTCCCAAAATGCTAGGATTACAGGCAAGAGCCACTGAGCCTGGCCTATGTATATTTTATTATTTTTTATTATTTTTTTCTTTTTCCAACTTCTTTTTTAAAAAAAATTCCTTCATGGCCTGTGTATATTTTAAAATATGGTATTTTAGTCAGAGCTTCGGTAATATCCAAGGGCTTTACTGACTTTGTATCAGTGAACCTTAGTTTTTTCTTAAACTATCTGATAATAAGGAATCTCATATTTGACCTTTAAAAACCTCTGTAGGCTAAGAAGCCAAGCCAAGGATTTGTCCAATTATGTTCTGTTAGAAGGAGAACAGATTCCAATTGAACCTACACAAATACTCATGTTTGCCATGAAAATAAGAATTTCTTTTTGAGACAGAGTCTCACTTTGTTGTCCAGGCTAGAGTGAGTGCCGTGGCGTCAGCCTAGCTCACAGCAACCTCAGACTCCTGGGCTCAAGCAATCCTCCTGCCTCAGCCTCCCGAGTAGCTGGGACTACAGGCATGCGCCACCATGCCCTGCTGATTTTTTCTATATATATTTTAGTTGGCCAATTAATTTCTTTCTATTTATAGTAGAGACGGGGTCTCGCTCTTGCTCAGGCTGGTTTCGATCTCCTGACCTCAAGCAATCCGCCTCGGCCTCCCAGAGTGCTAGGATTACAGGCGTGAGCCACCACATCCAGCCGAAAATAAGAATATTTAATAAGAGTTTCCAAATTCTGGAGTGATCAGGTAGGGAGAAAAAGATTAAAGTTCCATTTTTGTTTACAAAATACATTTTGTCAAATTGCTGTAAGTGACAAACAGCTTAAAAGAGGAAAAGGGTTCCTTTAATCCACAAAACAATACATTAAAGAATCAGCAATGTTTCTCACAAAAAGTCATTAAAATTATAATTATTCTCATCTGTTAATTCAGTCCCTTATAATTAATTTTTGTTTTGCTTGATAATTGATTAGCAGTTTTATGAATCAGTTTTCCCATTAGAGTTTTAGAAGTTCTTACCCAGTCCAACAGTGGGACCTAAGAGTTCTCAGAAACCTTACCAGGGTCTTTCTTATGAATCTCTTACAATTCTGTGTCGTGCAACTGCCAAGGAACTTTGGTTGTTCTGGTGACATGCAACATTTTAAGATAATAAATAGAATTATGACCAATAACATTATACTAGAACATATCAGATATTTAGGAATTTTATACCATTTGAGGACATTTATATTAATAATATATACCCATGTAAATGTTACATAAGAAGGCTAAACATCACCTGTATTTGACAATGCTCCCCATGCAATTTAATATGCCAAATAATCCTAATTAGTTTAACATCTCTCTTTCTATAAGGAGAGGAAATAAATTCTTTTGAGATATTCCAGGGACCCTTCAACAAACTCCCAAAGTCAATTCACAGTCAAAAAGACTTAATTTGATTTGGGGGAACTGTCAAAAAAAAAAAAAAGTCAAAAGGTTTAAAACACTTGATTAAACAGGATCACAGGTCACTGTGAAACAACGCTAAAGTGACAAAATATTTTAAAGGCACATATAGAAAGTTATGCAGCTATAAAAAAATTAGCTTTTTAAAATTGAAAAGACTCACTTTTTAAAAATAATCAATGATCTAATAAAAGACAACACAAAGCATAAGTAATTATCTTAGTCAAACATAAAATCTTTGTTTTCTAGGCCAACTACTTAAAAGGTAAAGACAAAAACTTTCATAATTAAGAGCAGACAAGCAGTCCAAGAAAACCTTATCTTTTTAACAAAAGGAAAAGGGAGTTCTAAGCCAAGAAGGTAGCCTGTGTCTGTCATCCCAGGTACTCAGGAGGTGGAGGCTGTGCTTTGATATGATCACACCTGACAGCCACCGCACTCCAGCCTGGGCATCACGGCAAAACTCCACCTATGGGCCGGGCGCGGTGGCTCACGCCTGTAACCCTAGCACTCTGGGAGGCCGAGGCAGGCAGATTGCTCGAGGTCAGGATTTCGAAACCACCCTGAGCAAAAGCAAGACCCTGTCCCTACTATAAATAGAAAGAAATTAATTGGCCAACTAATATATATAGAAAAAATCAGCCGGGCATGGTGGCGCATGCCTATAGTCCCAGCTGCTGGGGAGGCTGAGGCAGGAGGATTGCTTGAGCCCAGGAGTCTGAGGTTGCTGTGAACTAGGCTGATGCCACGGCACTCACTCTAGCCTGGACAACAAAGTGAGACTCTGTCTCAAAAAAAAAAGACAAAAAATTACTTTTAACAAAAATGAGTTTGAGTAAGAAGTAATTCATGAATTGGGGAATACAAGACCGACAGAGGTTTATTGTTGAGATGACCAAACGTCAAAGGCAAGTATTTATTGGCTAAATGCAGAAGCGCAGTAATCAGTTATGCGATTGGTTAGGGTCATAAGGTCACGCAGCTTTCTTACTTGGCCTGTCCCACTGGAGAGTCCCTGGTTATGTAGCACATGAGGCATTTATGATTGACTGCGGTCAAAATTTACTTGTCTAATGTAAGCATTTACCAGAAATAACTCAAGTTTTGTTCTTGTTTTTTCACTTCTGCCAGCTGAAGCGAGTAATCCAGTCAAGCTTCACTCACATTTGGGATGTCTGAGGTCCCTCGGGAGGCCTGGCTGGTTTAGTCTGCTCGAGGTCTTCGGGCCTGGTCTCCGTTTTCTTTTGTTTTGTTTTGTTTTGTTTTTGAGACAGAGTCTTGCTTTCTTGCTTAGGCTAGAGTGAGTGCCCGTGGCATCAGCCTAGCTCGCAGCAACCTCACACTCCTGGGCTTAAGCGATCCTCCTGCCTCAGCCTCCCGAGTAGCTGGGACTACAGGCATGTGACACCATGCCAGGCTAATTTTTTTTTTCTATATATATTAGTTGTCCAGCTAATGTCTTTCTATTTATAGTAGAGATGGGGTCTGGCTCTTGCTCAGGCTGGTTTTGAACTC